TACACAAATATCAAAAGTTGATGACTATGGGCTCAATTTGTGGAGGGCAAAATGATATAAAAGTCAAATTTTGAGGACTAAATTGTACAAGTTCAAAATTAAAAGACCTGATATGCAATTATCTAAGGGACTTGGCTGTAAAATTGAAGTCAATTTTTTTGTCTTTTGACAGAGATGCGGCGCAGTGGCTCCTAGGCGCCATTTTAATTAAAAAAGGACCCGGGGACAGTATTTTGGCTTTTCCAAAACTTTAAGGACCTGAGATGCAATTTCTTATTAGGTTTTAAATTGAGTTCTGCTATTTCTGCTGGGAGCCGGTCTTCGTCTCTTTCATTTTTATTTATTTATTTATTTTTTCCTTAATCTTTTTCATTTTTCTTTCTTTTTCTGGCATCTTTCTTTTTCTCTTCTTTTTCTTGTTAATAGTTGGAGGAGAAATCATAGAGCAAGAATAATACTTCTAAGGTGGAGAAATATTTGGGAAAATCAAGGCCAAGTTTCAAAAAGTGTTTTCCTATAACTTTGCATTTTCTCAATTTTTTTGTCATGTTTGTAATGTATTGTATGAAATATTCTCATTTTTATCATTTATACAATATGGCTTAATTTATGGTGTTGAGACTTGTGTTATTAGTTTCACTTAATTTTAATTAATTTTAATATTTTCTCTTTAATGTTAAGTTACTTACTTTCATGTGTTTTTACTATTGTTATTTATTGCATTTTCATTTATATGGTCAATGAATTATAAAATTTAGTGATTGTACATCGTTCAAGAGAAGATTGTGCATTTTAGATTAAATAGTAGAAACATTAAACTTGTATAGGTGATAGAAATATACACCTAACTCTAAGTAACAGATTGAGCTACTTTACAAAAATTTAATGCGATTGTTTGATTTGAATCAACGTAGAAATATAATATGTTAATCCAATCAACTAGGATTAATTTCGTTCGAGAGAAGTAATTAACTAAAATTGAAAAATCGAGTCTAACAATGTAAATGAGTAATTTATAATTAGCTTGTCGAGAAATTAATTAGGCGACAGTTAAATAAAACCATGAATCCCATCACGCTTTCCGCCGAAATTTCTAAGATTTTTATATTTCCTTATTTTGTAGATTTTTAGTTATTTTCCAAAACTAAATATTTATTATGTGTTTCTTTTTTTTTCTAGAATTAAATTAATTAAAGTTGTATAATCGAAAGTATATATTTTTCGAGGGATCGACAATTCGGACTCAAAAAATCCATTTTTATTACTTGAATTCCACCCGTGCGCTTGCATTTTGCACTTTCATAGCAAATAAGTTTTTGACGATGTTGCTGGAAAATATATTTTACTTTAATTACTACTTTAATTAATTTTTTTTAAAATAATTTTCTCCATTTACTTTTGTTTGCTTTTATTTTTTTATATATCTTTTAGCTAATCTCTACAGTTTAAATCTATCTTGTGTTTGTATTATCTCCTTGTACTTTTCAGATATTTTCATGTTCAACAACACGTTCTTTCAATAAAATAATTTTACATGAAAAAGATTTGTTAACCATACATTTTCTAAATATAACTTTACTAAATTTATTCTTCCAAAAAGGGCTCAAACAGGGGCGGACACAGACATTTGAAGTTAGGCTCAATAAAACTTGCAGTTGTGAAGAATTTTTCACTAAAAAATTTTATCCGAAGAAATATAACCCATGTAATTTTACATCCAAAAATTTACATGAGTATAATTTATTTGGATGTAAGAATTCAAAAAATTTTAATGTCATATCTCATGTAAATTTTTTTAATAAAACGATGTAAATTATATTGAAAATTTGTATCACAAAAAATAATAATAATTGAAAATTTTTAAAGAAAATACGAGTTATACGTCTATTTTTAAGAAGCGCGTTTGATATATCATTAACTATTTTCGATATTTGTTTGGACCATTCGGTATGCTTACGATGTAGTTCACGAAATGAGCTTTCAAATGTCATAGACGCTTTGTGGATTCAACTAGTGTACGATCGTCAGAGAATTTTTAAAATTAGTATGTTATCAAAATTCTAGAAATAATAGTTTGAAATGACTTACTTTGACAAGCTGTAACATTTACAACAATTGGCCGTTTCAAGTAACATTAACAACATAGAAAATTAGGCCGCGAACACTTTGAAATAATATTCAGAATATAATAATTTGATTTCATTTGATATCTCATAATAACTTCTAAAATTGAAACCCAAAAAAAAATAATAATAAAGAAAAAAAAAAACCACCACCACCCAAGTTGGGGGTCACGTGACCCATGCCCACCCCTATATGCGCTTCTGGGCTCAAACAATTATATCCTTGAAGCACGAGAGGGATGAGTAGTCACCTGTTCAAAGCTCAATTTCATTTGATTTGTAGAAATTTTTTGACCATTGTATAGTGAACAACTCTTTCTTTATTCATCATTTCTAACACCGACTTGACAAAGTCTGTCAAGGGTTATTCCTTTCTTTTAAAGTTTACAAATTTTACTCATAACTACAACTACCCAATTTTCAAAATATGCACCGTGATTTCTTTGCCATTAAAGGGGTATAATTAAAAAACAAAGACAAAACCCTGCACCAAATACAGAAGTCGTGAAATGGTGGGTCAAGAATGATGTGACTGAAGGATGAATTCTCTCAAATCAAATGGCTCCCAAATGGCAGTGAATTGTTAAAAAAAGAAGAAGTGCCACATCATCAAGCGGGCATTGTCCACAAAAAAAGGAAAAAAATGAAAGGGAGAAGAAAGGAAAAAAAAAAAGAAAAACTGAATTTTGCCATTTGTAGATTCTAAAGTTAACATCAATGTTGACATTTGTCTTGTTTGCATAACCCAAAAAAAAAAAAAAAAAAAACCCGCCAAATGACACTGCCATGTGACAAAGTGTAAATCATGGTGTACATTGCATGATTGAAAAAAACTTCTTCAACGAGATATGACATGGAACCTATCAGCGTGAGGTAGCAAAAAAAGGAAAATTAGAAGTTGTCACAAAGATCCTCTAATTTTGGAAGGTCTATGAGACAACGTGATTCAATAATTTTTTTTTCTATTTATTTAATTGAGGAAAAACAAGACGTGTCTAACTACTCATTGGAAAAAAACGAATTCAAGCCTAAGTGAAGTTTTAATCAAAGTCACGCAATTGTTAAGGTAAATCCTATTTGAGGCACTTGGTTCACTTGTCAAGGTTTATTGAGCCTAGGCTAGTCTTGGAGGCAAAAAATTTTAAACAAATCTGTACCGTTATTAAAGCAAGTCTTATACGAGGCACTTGACTTGTTGAGATGAAGCAACTGACTAAGAGTATACGAGTTTTGAGAGCAAGTGCCTCAGGTATTTGACTCCACCGCCTAGATGAAACCTTTTAAACAAATTCGTGAGTATAGAAGCAAGTCATTTCATAGGCACTCGACTCACTTTTCAAGCCGTGAAGTGAAATATTATTGTATGTTAGTTAGAATGCATTTTCTCACAGAGGTGATATAGGGGAGTCACATGGGGGTGGGCTCCATGTGAATATTTTATTGAGGTGGGCCCCACTCTTGTGTATATACTGTGAAATGTCTGTATGCTTTTCCCATGTAAATAGAGCACCATTCTAGTTAGAAAGGTTGGCGAACTACTACGATCTATAGATTCTCCATCTATATCTAGTGAAGTGTTGATTGAGCCCAGACAAACTTTTTAGGTGAGTCTTAGTCGAAGCACTTGGCTCCCCTGCCAATGAGGCTCTTCTCGTAAATTACTGGCTTGAAGAGGTTAACCTTAGAGGTGGTCGACTTTTCATGGAGATGGTTCTTGCTAAATATTATTCGTGTAGGTTGAGAAGGCAACCCTGAAGAAGTGCTAGACTCTCCTGCCAAGGAGTCTTTTTAACTTGTGCGGGTTATGAGGCTAGTCCTGAAAGAGATGCTTAGGTCTCCTGCCGAGGAAGTTGTCCTTGTAAATAGCTCACACGAATTGAGCGGGCATGACCTAAAGAGATTTTTTGCTATCTCGCTGATAAGACGTGTGGGTTGAGAAGGAAAGCAAACAAGTTTTAAATACTTGATGAACTCAAGACATGAAAGTATTAGTCTTTAAAAAAAAAAAAAAAAGGTTGAACCTCAACCTGTCAACCTTGAGGGCCCCTACTATCCCGTCCCTAGGGTTTTGTGAGGGAGGTAAATTGCGGGATGTGCTTCAACACGTCAGGGAACAAGAGTTGCATGTACACTGCGCCTACAAGGAGTCCAATTCCATGTCTCAGGAATCGAACCCTCATACTGTGGCTGCCAGCAAGGCATGAGATAAATTCACTCCTATCCTTTACACCACTGAATTATGCCCCGAGGGGCAAGTATTAGTCTTTTTTAATACCTATAACGAGTGTCTTACTTTATATTAATTAAACTGAAATAAATTCCATAGATAATACCAGATGACTCTTCAAGAGTACACATGCCTTCTTAACTACTTCATTTAAGAACTTAAGTTTTTAGAAATATGCTATATTTATTCATTTACGTTTTATTTTCAACATATCTTCTCATGGGTACTTTGAAGTCATTTTCTTTTATGAAAGTCTACTGTGTAAGACTTAAATTTATGATTTTTACTTAGTCTAATATTTTGCGTTGAAATTCATATATAAAAACTTTATTTTTTGAAGAAACAAGAAACTTGAGTATGTCTTGAAAGTGTTTATAAACAATTTAAATTATAAATAGTTGAAAATTAATTATGATTAAGCAATCGTATTTGTGCAGTTGTGCATTTCTTAAAATATATGAATAAAAAGTTGTTTTGAGTGTTTATAAATGGTTTATAAATATGTGCTAAACATATTTTTATTTGATTTTATTTTATTAACAATTTCAAAACTCTAAATAGACCGTACCAAAAGAAAACAAATCTATGAAAATAATTGCAAATACGCGAAATAAAAGATAATGAATGGTTGGTATGCCGAAAGACAAGGCTCATATCTTGATCTGAAGCTCTCATTGTTTATTCTTGAAACACATTGAAATTTATTCCCGATGCTTCGAAAGACGAGAGAAAGAGAGCTAAAAGAGACTAGACAGAATTTGCTTATCGCTCAACCAATGTAGTACATGGGATCTGGGACTTTGAACGTTCGATTGCCATTATTGTCTCCAAGAATATCACTCCATTGGTCTCCAGAATTTCCAAGAATTCTGTATCCTGCATTTACTAGCTCTGTCCTCCTTTTTGATTTATACGCCAATGCTGTGAGGCCCTTATCAGCATCTCCCCTGCACCCAAAGTAATACTAGATTACGATTTTCTGTTACTTTTAAAAATCGACTATATTACTAAAACAATGCAGACAGATAATAGAAAATATAATTGCAAGTTTACTTGAGAATGAGTTTCTCCCAAGTATGGTAACCAACTGCCTTCAGATTTGCTATCCTGGCCTCTCTGACATGTTCTCTACTTCCTGTTAAGAAGACAACTTTGAAACCTAGACTCAACAATGTTCCATATAGACGAAGCGCTCCTGGAACTGCCGGTGCTTTTGCCTCTGCAACCCACTCGTTAAACCTTGAGCTGTTGTATGGTAATGCCCTGACATCAAATATATTTAACGTTAGATTTGGTGGCAAATTCATACATACATTGGAACAACATTTTTTAACCTTTTTTAGAGTTGGATTACTATCAGTCGAAATCACATGGGAGGTTGGTCTTTCCGAATGTAATGTATATACAACTCGTGTGGTGCTATTATAGAGAAAAGAAGTGCATATGCTTGCAGCTTAATCCCTAACAAAAGTGGTCCGACCGACACTGCCAGAAGAGGCAATGACAGGCCGGTGCCCGACACCTCACAATTTTTTGCGGGTCGGGCCCAGAATTTTTTGGCAGTATTTTTTCATGCGGGGCCCATGGCACTGGGCACCGTTCGGTCACCAACGCCCTGGCCATCCGGATTTTTCCAGTAAAAGTAAATAATCCAAGTTTTTGACTCATTTGTGTAGATAAAGTATTTATTGTAGTAGTTACCCAAAGAGCACATCAGATCGAGCATAGTATGGGATATTAGAAAGCGTAGTCTCGTCAATGTCAAAGATCCAAATGTCCTTGCTGTCGCCAGCAAGTTTAAGGCTCTTGGCATATTTAATTGCAGCATCTGCTACCAATTCGCAATCATGTCGGTATTGCTTGCCTAACATATAGTGACCTACATAGTTTTCACAAGACATGGGCACAGTTCTCCAACTTTGAAGGTTGTTGGTTTCAACAGCCAAACGCCAGCTGAGGCAGTCGAGGCCCTCAAGCCGGTGGCCGGCAGCACCAGCTCGTGGCCGGAGAAGATAGATTTGACCCTCTTGAAAAATATGGCAATCTGCATTGCAAGTTGCCACAATGGTAGCCAAAAAGAAAAATACTACCAGCCTCATGTTTGCACGCTTATGTGATAAAGTCTTGGCATGAATTAGTCGTTTATATAAAGTTCTACCACCAAATTGGCCATTCTTTTGCAGGAAATTACTTGTGATACCCTTTCCATAGCAAAAGAAAAAAGCAATCTCCATGAATATTTATTGCCACTTCATCACATTTGTTATTAGAAATATCGAAAAATTTAAAATAACTAAATTCTTAATCACTACAAATCTACAATAACTGCGATTATTTTGGTATAATCACCCTCTTCTAATTAAGTTTCTAAGGTTGCATCAGTCATTTTCTTGTAATCTTTCATTTGATTTTTATACAATTATGGTACCATTTGTTTCTTATTCTAATTTGTTCCGTGTTCTTATTATTTTTTACACATAATTGTTAAAAAAATAATAATAATAAATAACTTTTAAACCTAGCAAAATTAAATAAGACAATTGATAAATTTCATCACACTAACTTTTTTCGATAATCTTATCTAATTTTGTAGATTAACTATATGTATAAACTCTCAAAAGTGAAAAGGTAATTAGCTAAAAGGAAACAATAGGCAATCCATTTCTTCTTACTCCTCGTAATTTCCATGCTGATTATCTACAATATATTAAAAGTAAGGATTGATAAGAAATTTTTGATTATCAATTTTACCCTTACATATTTAACTATAGGTCCAATATACCATCATTTGTCCTTATATCTTCAATTTTCCATTTTGCCCTACATTTTTATGTTTATGGTCAACAATACCCTTAAAATTAAAATTATTTTTAATTTCCACTAAACACTATTATTGTTAATTATCAGTATATGATTAATAAAAATTTATAAAAACAACAGAAAAATTATAACAATACTACATATATAATTAATGCAAAATGACATAGACTTCTATGTCGATTAATATTAATATATAGAACATATAAAATTAATAAACTTATATACACAATTAATTTTTTAAAATCCAATTCTATATATTAAAAGAATATTGTATTCCTAAATGATTCCATTGAAAATAAAATATAATAGCTAAAAAATCCCCAAAAACTAACGTTCACTTGATAAGTACTAGATGAAAAGTCATTTTCTAATAATCCATCAACTCTTTAATCACCATTAATTTACATTATTTTGAGGAACTATGAGACCAAAAGTAATCTTTCAATAACACAAGTGTGAATAGATACAAACATTCATCCTTGCATTTTACTTTTACATTTTTTATTTATGGTGAACAATACCCTTAATATTCAGTTTATTTATTCTAAGTAAGATACTTAATAATTATTATTACTTTCAAAAATTAAGTCAATTAATTTTCATTAAATAAAATTAGTACTAACTATTAGTTCACAATTAATAAAAACATTATTACATACCATTAAAAGACATTATAATAATACTATTTTATAGTTAACTTGAAATGACATTTATTAAGTAGATTAATATCAATATATAGAATTCACAAAAAAAAAAAAAAAAATACTTTACACAATTAAATTTTTTCAAACCTAATAATACACATTAGAATTAGTATTGCATTTCTAAAAAGATTCTATTGAAGATAATAAATTCAATCCATAATTGCTATCTTTAAATCTTTATTAATCAAATACATAATTATAGAACATTTCATTGTCCATTATATAAATATTTTGCTTTAAATTGTATTTTTCAAAGAGTCCTCAAGTCTCAATTATTAATTTGTCACCCGTAATCCATCACCGTATTGAGTTTATAATTTATTTTCTTTCATATGTTACTTTCTCTAAGTAAATGTTAATGTGAGGAATGTTAATAACTATTTCTCAATTTATTAATCGAAATTATATTATATTATGATGATAGAAAATCCAAATGTAGTCTTTTTTTATCAGAATGATGGCAAATCTTTTTTATAGGGCACAACAACCAATCATAGATTTTTTTATTTATATTTTTTGTTTACGATGTACTTTTCAATAGTGTGAATTATGTTGAGATTTATTGTATTAGATAGTTGGTTTTGAATTTATTTTCTACAAAAACTCAATTATTTAACCGAAATTTACTAGCATTTCTCAACTTGAATCTTGTATATGTTGTCTTTATGATTTTCATTGATAAATGGACATATTTTTCTTTTTATTGTTACAATTGTACAGTGTGTGAGAAATTCAAATGCCACATTTTCACTTTCCAGGATTTTATATACGAGTTGTTAGCTTAAAATGCCGTTCGGTGCTTATTGAAATTTGATTTTTTTTTTTTTTCATTTAGACATTGGATAAGAGAAAAAATCATCAAACTCTCAAATTTCGAGTGGTCATATTCTCATAATTTTTAACCCTCACAAGTTTGATTAAATACACATTTCCATAGCATATTTAATGATTTTTGAGTTATTAATTTTATTAATTATAGTCTCTTGTAATTTACATTCACTTAGTATTGTTACCTTTAATTCATAGCAAAAATCTAATTTATTTTATTTTTTTAAACTAAATTATGACTACAAATCATTAAGATGGCTCTTGAATGCATAACTTCAAATTTTTGTTTTGAATATATGGTTTTGATACAAAATTATAGTTAAAAATTAATTATGTAAATAATCTAATTGCATAATCAATTTACTAGACCCTTAATATTCAATCTAAATGTGAATAGATGATAAACATTCGATTTCGCATTTTATTTTTACATTTTTTATTTATGGTGTACCCTTAATATTCAATTTATTTCTTCTAAATAAGATAATTAATAATTATTATTGCTTTCAAAAATCAAGCCAATTAATTTTCACTAAACACAAAATTATTAATGCACAATTAATAAAAACATTATTATATATAATTAAAATAAATTAAAAAAATATGATTTTATAATTAACTTGAAATGGCATATTTTATTAAGTCGATTATATTGATATGTAGAATTTATTAAAAAAATCACTTTACACAATTAAAAAAAAAACCCTAAACCTAAATAATACATATTAAAAATAGTATTATATTTCTAAAATGTTCTGTTGAAAATAATAAATTCAATCCTTAATTTCAATCTTTAAATCTCTTATTAATCAAATACATAATTATAGAACATTTCGTTGTCCATAATATAAATATTTTGCTTTAAATTGATATTTTTCAAAGAGTTTTAGACCAAATGATAGAAATAAATGGGAAAAACTATATTTTGCTTTTCAAAGAGTTTTAGACCAAATGAAAGAAATAGATGGAAAAAACTATATGAGAACTCCCTTACTCCTTAAGTCTCAATTATGAATTTGTCACCCATAATCCATCACTCACTGATCACATATTGAGTATGTGTTTATAAATTATTTTATTTCATATCTTACTTTCTTTAAGTAATTGTTAATGTGTAATATGTTAATAACTGATTATCAATTTATTAATTGAAATTATATTATATTATGAGGATAGAAAATCCAAATGTAGTCTCTTTTGATTCGAATGATGGCCAATCTTTATTATAGGCATAACAATCAATCATAGATTTTTTTATTTTTATTTTTTGTTCATGATGAAATTTTTAATAGTGTGAATTATGTTAAGATTTATTATATCCGATAGTTAGTTTTGAATTTATTTTCTATAAACGCTCTATTTTTTAACTGAAATTTACTTGCATCCAGTTAATCTTTTTCCCCTTTGCTCAACTTGAATTTTGTATATGTTGTCTTTATGATATTCATTGATTAATTGACATATTATTCTCCTTATTGTTGCAATTGTCCAGTGTGCGAATGATAGTTGTGATGAACTGAAAATTCTAAGACCACATTTTCACTTAAGAAATTTATGTATGAGTTGTTAGTTTGAAAAGCAGTTTGGTCCGTATTGAAATTTGCATTTTTTTTCACCTAAATATTGGATAAGAGAAAAAAATCATCAAAATCTAAAATTAGATTCTCCAAAATTTCAAGTGGTTATATTCTCAGAATTTTTAACCCTTACAAGTTTGATTCAATACACATTTCCATAGAATATTTAATAATTTTTTAAGTTATTAATACTATTGATTGTGATCATTCCCATTATTTACATTCACTTAGGCCATGTTTGATAGGGTCAAATTCCATGGAAAATGCCACCCTCTTGTAGTGTTTGATAGGTTATTTTTCCATGGAATTTGGTTTTTTTGTTTTTCTTGAAAGTTGAAATTTTCTTGGTTTTCCTTAAAAACCAATTCCCACTAACTAGTTCCCTTTTACGTTTTTTTATTTTTATTTTTGGGTTAGTGGAAACAAATTTTATCCCTAATTGTAAAAAAAAAATATTTTCTTTTAATTGACAATTTTCATGTAAAATAAGGTCAAATGAATACCAAAAGATAGATGATTTTTTTCTTTTGCAATGGAAACAATACCAGTAAATTATATCCCTTTAATTGACAATTTTCATGTAAAATAAAGCCAAAAGAATCCAAAAATACTTTTATTTTAATATTTTTCACGTGAAAAATTATACCAATCAAACACAATAATTGAAAATTCTCAGTAAAACATTTCTTAGCAATTCAATTCCTTGAAATTCATTTTCTTTCTACCTAAATTCCATCTCTTGCAATCAAACGAACCCTTAGTATTGTTACCTTTAATTCATAGGAAAAATCTATTTTTTTTTTTTAAACTAAATTATGACCACTAATCATGAAGAAGGCTCTTGAATGCATAACCACCCAACTTGTTTTTTGAATGCTTGATTTTGATACAAAATTATAGTTAAAAATTAATTACGTAAATCATTTAATTGCATAATCAAATAGTTAAAGTTTCATGTCCCATCTAACAAATTTTTTTGTCTAAATATTTTGATATTTTAAAATTTTGTAGGCATTTTAGATTTTTTTTTTTTTTTTTTGGTTTGTCAATTATAACAATAGAACATTAGTCATATTATCATACTAAAAATGTATATTTTAATTTTTAACGTTTTCATGTTAAAATATTGTTATACAATATATTAAAAATTGTAAGTATCATTGATACTTATTAAAATTATATTATATATAATTT